GCCACCTGTACCCCGCGGGTGGGGCGGCGGGTAGGACACTGCCCGCCATTCCGCCCGCGGGTACACTCCTGTACACCAAAATAATCCCTTCAGGGATTTTCAACACCAAGCTCAAATTCAAGTCCAAAACATGAAAAATCTCACCACATACAACAAAATGACTTGAATCAATGGAATAGCCAAGCAATGGCATACAAGAACCCTAATAACAAGCTCAAGATATGCATTTTCACAAGATAATGCATCAACACTCACATTTCATAGCAAAACACATGTAGAATCCAAGAAATCATCATATAGGTAAGCAAAATAGATTTTGTAGAGCATGGGTTACCTCTTGAAGACTCAACTTTCACTTTAGACACTTCACAAAACTCTCAACAAGGTTCCCTTTCCACACCCACTTCAAGAACACACCAAAACAACATAAAGATTTCACCTTTATAAAAAGATACCTTTGAAAACACTAAAAACACAAGAAGAGCTTAGATCTTACCCTCCTAGATGCTCAAAAATGTGAAAGGTAGAATCTTGAAGGCAAACTTGAAAGATCTTGGTAGCCCTAGGTGTGGCTTGGAAAGAAAGCGAACTAGCTTTTAGAGAGAAGAGAGAAAGCTTATGATTTTTCTCTTGGAGAGTGTTTGAAGAAATGAAATGTGTCTTCCTAGGTTAGCTTGAAAGACTATTGTCAAGGAAATGTCTTATTTGCCCTTACTAAGATGAAATGTGTAAGGGAACAAGGGAACAACCCACAAAGCTTTAGGTACAACTTTTGACTTTGGGTTGACTAGTCAATTACTAGTCCCCGAGTATTGAATTTTCTGGAATTTAAGTAATTAAATTATCAATTGAATTAGAATTAATTACTTAATTAATCCCTTAATCGAATTTGGATTACGGGGTGTCACACTCGGTGCTATAAAGGAAACTGTTACTATTAGTATAGTAAATCACAGCATTAATTGATATGCCCAGTATAGTAACAAAATCGAAATATATATTATTATATAGTAAAGTAGTAACTATTACTATAAAAATATATAGTAACTACTACTATAATATGCATATTATAGTAATAAAATAAATAAATGTTAGTATTTGTATATTAGATCACACTCAATAATTGATATGCCTATTATAGTGATAAAATTGACATATATAATTATATATAGTAAAATAGTAATTGTTACTATAATAATATATGTTAACTGTTACTATAATATACATATTATTTTAATAATTAAAAAATAATTGTAGTATATCACACTCAATAACTGATATGTCTATTATTGTAATAAAATCTACATATATAATAATATATAGTAAGGTAGTAATTGTTCCTATAATAATATATAGTAATTGTTACTATAATATGCCTATAATAGTAAAATAAAAAAAAATTAACGATTATTATTAGTTTAGTAGATAACACTCAATAATTGATATGCCTATTATTCTAATAAAATTGACATATATAATAACATATAGTAAAATATTAACTATTACTATAATAATGTATAGTAACTGTTATTATAATATACCTATTATAGTAATTAAAAAAGTAGTTGCTTCTATTTGTATAGTAAATCACAATCAATAATTGATATGTCTATTATAGTAATAAAATCTCATATATAATAATATATAGTAAGGTAGTAATGGTTCCTATAATAATATATAGTAATTGTTACTATAATATGCCTATTATAGTTTAAAAAAAAAAATTAACGGTTACTATTAATTTAGTAGATAACACTCAATATATAATTGATATGCATATTATTGTAATAAAATTGACATATATAATAATACTAGTATTTCTTATGCGCGATGCGCAAAAAATAGGTGCTCAATATTAATAGTTTATATTAAAATTTTAAATTTTAGATATTTAAAATACTGTAAATAATAATAATAATAATAATAACAACAACATCAACAACAAAAACAATAATAATAATAATAATAATAATAATAATAATAATAATAATAATGTACAACATTTTTATAAATTTAATATTTATATTTTAAGAAATAACTTATATATAACCCCAATATATAATGTTATACATTATTATTATTATTATTATTATTATTATTATTATTATTATTATTATTATTATTATTATTATTATTAAAAATAAGAAAATATATGGTGGATGCATGTGCATGCTAGCAATAGTGGAAAAGATAATGGAAGTTATAACGTAGGGGTATGTTTGTCCAAAATATTGTATAGTACAACATTTATAGCGTAATGTATCATAAAACTTAGCAGAAAAAACAGACATAAATGAAGGGTATAACCTTCATCCACACTTATTATTCTTCCAAAAGGCTGAACCCCAACCCGACAGGGTATTTGGGAAGATGTAAATCATGGTAACTCAACTGAACATGAACCACAGAGGCTAGACCGGTGCTCACTGCGCACAAGGAACTCCCCTCACTTTGAGATGTTGTTCCCAAACTGCCGCTGGTGAGACTCGATCCCTGGTCATTCTTCCAAAGTTTCACCTCTGTGATCATCCACACTTATTATGTTTTTAGATATAGTAAAGTATTAACTGTTACTATAATAATATATAGTAACTGTTATTATAATATTCCTATTATAGTAATAAAAAAAAATTGTTGTTTCTATTTCTATAGTAAATCACACTCAATAATTGATATGTCTATTACAGTAATAAAATCAAAATATATAATAATGTATAATAAAGTAGTAATTGTAACTGTGATAATATATATTAACTATTATTATAATATGCCTATTATAGTATATAAAAAAAAAAGTAACTGTTATTATTAGTATAGTAATAGTAATTTTCCCTATATCATATATAATTAATTAATATATTAATATAACATATATAGATTACTATGGAGAACTAATATATTAATATATTAATATATTTAAAGAAAAAATTATTTTAGAAATTCATTCAATGCAATACCTTTTGAGAAATATTTTTGAATAAGGCATGAATCGTTCACAAAACACCTATAAATATACATTATTTCACACATCCCACCCTCACTAAACTACTGTCTTGGCTTCTTAGTTTTTCTCTAGTATATAAACAACCATGAATCCAAGAACAACGACATCCATGTTGGTTTTAATTTTCTCATTGGTTATTGCTACAGGTGACCGTGGTTATTATTTCATTTACAAAAATTATTAATTGCTGAAGTTATAATATTATATTTATATTATTGATTATTGATTATATCTTGTAAGTCCATTTTTTGTTGTGATGTGTATGTCTATTATTAATATTATTATTTTGAAAAATTTTGAATCATTATTGTCTCTAACATCACAAATGTAAAATTATAAATGGTTACAGACATTTCACTAGTTGTTGAAGCAAGGAATGTAGCATATCCATGTAGCGCGACTCACCCGTGCTCTAGTCCAACATGTGATTGTGTAAATGGCTTATGCATATGTCATCAAACTCCACATAAATATAATGGTAACAATAAATTCGTGGTCAAGCAGCAAAAATTAAAAAATTTAGTAACCAAGGGTGTTGCAGATCGAATTGATGGAAATATCTAGATAATTATATATGTATTGAGTACGTAATGATATGATTAATCAATGAATGAACTATTTTTGGAATCTCTCTCTCTCTCTCTCTCTCTCTCTCTCTCTCTCTATATATATATATATATATATATATATATATATATATATATATTCAGTGGGTGTCACATATATGTAATGGATTGAATGGTATTAGTGCAGAAAGCTCATCCATACAAAAAAAAAAAAAAAAAAAAAAAAAAAAAAAAAAAAAAAAGACTAAAAATTGACTTTTACATATAAACTTAGGATAAAAAATGGAATTAGCTAGCAAATAATTATCATCAAAAGAAAGAATATTTGTAACGGTTTTTTGAATGCTATTACATTGTAGTAGCTGTTCAAACATATTTTCTCAACCTAATGAAGCACAAAGAGTCAACAACGTCTCCACATAGCAGATGTCACTACATGCCATCTGAGCACAAGTTGCTTGGCTAACTATGATTAGATAGTTTCTTAATACAATATATTATCTTGATTTAGGGTTGATGTGAAAACAAGAATATTTTTTTTCTTTTTGGATAGTGACTGTTTTAATGATTAATAATTATTTATTAATGATAATAATTATTCTTTATACCAAAAATTAAATTATATATAAATCAAAAGATGGAGCAAAAATCCACTTTTTAGTTATATTCTTTAATTTTTCTTATTACAATCTTGACATTTATTTGTTTTAAACGATTAGTCATTCATTTAAACTTTTGTCATTTTAGCATATAATAAGATAGGGCTAATAGTGGAAGAACGAAATTTTAAATGGAGGATCGGACAAATTATGACAAGTAAACTAAATTTAACTATGTAATGTGAAAAATTAATAGAGCAGGACTAAATGCAGTAATGCGACGATAGTCAGGGACTAAAAGTGAAATTTGCCGTAGAAAGATGTAAATAAATTATTTAACTTGTTATTTATTATAATTAAAATAAATTTGCCAATGACTTTGTGATCTAGTGACATGAAGTAACTCTCCCGAGTGGGAGGTCATGGATTTGAGTCCAAGTGGGGACGATACTGACTCTTTCACTACTACAAAACAACACACCTATCACGGCGGTTATTATTATTATTATTATTTTACAAATACACGGCGGTTCTTGAAGTGTCGTGTAAGTGATCACCTTTGGCAAATAAAGACTTTTTACGGTGATTTTTTGAACCGCTGTGTATACTGCATATATACGACCATTACGATGGTTTATAACCGCCGTCTAATCTTACAATGTATGCCGTGTAATCTTAAAAATTATATGTATAGACAGCGGTTCCTCAAGAAAACCGCCGTCTATACATATATTTTAGATGTTAAAGTATATGTATAGACAATGAGAAGAGATAATCTAGAATTCAATATTACTTCGAGATGAATGTACGTACAATGCTTATATAGGTAAGCTAACCACCACAATAGGTGGAGAAGACCGGAGGGTGGCCAACTGGAGCGGAGTCTTCTGGAAACAGATAGCTATGTGTGCTGAGGAGATCCGCCACTTCAGAGATGGTAAGGGGAGCACTCTTGGTCGTAAGAGAGGCTACGAGCGACCTGTACTCTGGCCTCAACCCCCGGAAGAGGTGCAGGTTCTGTTCATCCAAGTCTATCGGCCTACCGGCCTGTGCAAGCTGCTCCACCAAAATCTTAGCACGGCCAAGGTAATCAGTTGTCGACGAGTTACCTTGTTGAAGTCCCTGGAGTTGCGTCAATAGACTAAGAGTACGGGAACAGGATGTGGATCCTAAGGCTGTTTCGACCAAGACCCAGACGGCTCTGGCTGTAGTGTGGCCGATCGCGAGGTAAAGCACCTCCTCGGCCATGGATGAGTATAACATACTTGAAATTGACTGGTCCTGCTGGACCCAATCTGTATACAGCGGATTCACCGTCGGAGACACTGTTGATGACGACGGGGAGGGCAAAAATTCCGACGGGCAAACACTCGTTCCGTCGACGAAGCCATAAAGGTTTTGACCTCTCAAGAATGGGACCAGCTGCGCTCTCCAGAACAAATAGTTCGTGGCAGTCAGCTTTAGCGACACGTAATGGTGCGCTTGTGGCAGTACAGTGACCGGACGGCGATCAGAATGCGCAACGGCTTGGGTCTGCCGATCAGATGAGTCGACGGTGGTGGGATTGGGTTCGACAGTGGGAGGATTGGCCATGGGATCGAAATTTAGGCTGATACCAAATGAGAAGAGATAATCTGGAATTCAATATTACTTCGAGATGAATGTACGTACAATGCTTATATAGGTAAGCTAACCACCACAATAGGTGGAGAAGATAAAGCTAGCTTAAGACTCTAACTACGTTAACAAACTTATTCAAAATAGCTGACTCAACATAGACGGCGGTTCCATGAAAGAAACGCCGTCTATACATATGTTTTAATGTCCAACATATATGTATAGACGACGGTTTTCATGAGGAACCGTCGTCTATACATATATTTTAGACCTTAAAATATATGTATAGACTGCGGTTCGAAGAAAGAACAGCTGTCTATACATATGTTTTGACGTCCAAAATATATGCATAGACGAAGGTTTTCACGTGGAACTGCCGTCTATACATATATTTTTTTAATATTTATACTTTTTTTTTGAATTTCCAATTTGTAAATCTCTAATATCAAATACAATAAAAAGCTGCTCAATTGCATCAAAATGCATACAATAATTCTAGTATTTCAAATTTTTAAATCTCAAATTTCAAGTGCAATAAAAAGCTATGCAATTGCATCAAAATAAGTACAATACATCAAAATGATATAATCAATCACAACTAATACTAACAACTAAATAATAATTCATTGTCATAATTATGTAGATGAAATCCAAAAATCAAAAAACTTCTCAACAAATTTCTCATCCCATCAATTTCTTCTTCTGAATAGCTTTGAGTATTATCGAACATCTACAAATTTAAACTCAAGTTAAAAAGTTTGTATAATGAAAATAATTAAATCTAATAATTTGAAAAAAATATATTGAAGTGATCATTACTTTAACTTGTCTAATTCATCATCAATTTCCATTTGCAAAATATTAAACATATATTTCATCACATAATATCCTGAATGAAAAACTAAATTAGAATTCCCATGAGTTTTAAACAAATAATTAAACAAGAAAAGCAAGAGATACTAAACACAATATATAATAAAGAACCGGGATTTCTAAATAATAATTCAACACTAAGAAAAACAACTATTAACCCAAAACAGTAAGATTTTCACATTCCATACAAATAACCATGTGTCTACTAATTTTCAAAAAAAAAAAACCATGTGTCTACTAAAATACTTTGAAAATGCTAACCATGCAAAATTGCAGAAATTATGTCTAATGTACATCTTATATAATGATAAGAAATTTAAATTTTACACTTTTAAGCTCTCTAGTGGTCACCATAAAGAATCAAAAGGAGAAATGCCTTTGGCAAGTTATCTTACAATAGAAACAGAAAATATTCCACCGAAAGAACTGCCAAGAAAGAGGCCTCTCCCAATCAGATATCTTCTCTGCCAAATTCAACCATGTCAAACACTGTCCAAACTCCAAGTTCTTAAGCCAACACAGAGGGTCAAAACAGATAAATGCTCAATAATTAGATGAATTATTGTGAAGTTAGATATCACAGTTCTACAACAATCTATGGTGATAGCATGTCTAGCTAGAAAATCCATTAGTTTGTACCCAACAACTGTTAATTGGTCAAAAGAAACACATTGCATAAGGAATATATTCAAATGAGTTTTAATATATTTGTACAATATTCCAGCACATAGCATATGGATTCACAATTAGTTTGAAAAAGAAAAAATGCATTAAAAATAATGAAAAAGAAAAATCTCCTAACAACCTCATTTCACTTTCCCCACTACAACATTCCACAACCTTCCCTGTATATTCTTCGTAAGCTTGTTCATTTTTATTCTTTCTACCACTTCACTCATACGATTGCAAGTAAAAAATATATATAATATGATAATTTAACTTGAATTGAGAAATTCTCACATTTATTAATTAAACCAAAAAAATCAAGACTCCAGATGGGGACGCTAAGGCCGCTACCTCGGTTCACAGGCAACTTCGTCGTCGTCGTCCGCGGGGTCTAACTCTCCGTGTCTCATCGGTGAGGCGTTAATGTTACCACAATCATCTCCTCTGAGGCTTGAACCCACCACCTCTCACATAAGGGAGCAACTTGATACTAATGGACCACAAGGTACTTGTTAGAAGATTAGAAATTTAAAATGGTATCTTACTATTTTTTAATAATAATAATAATAATAATATGTTTATATATATATATATATATATATATATATATATATAGAGAGAGAGAGAGAGGGATGCACTCAGGTGTGAATAAGTGCTCAGGAAGGAATATGCGAACGAATCAGCGCGCGACACGTGTCCAGATCTAATAGCTTAAAAAATGCGGTGGCATTTTCGTAAATAATTGAACATCGAAGTGCAAGTAAAATCACTTACAAGTTCACCTACTTTCATCTATAAGTGCATGTAATTTTGCCTTGTTAGCATTCACTTCCCGCATACATTCATGCACCTGGGTGTGCTTATAACTATAGGTGCAACTACTTTCACCTATAAGTGCATGTAATTTTGCATTGTTAACATTCATTGATCTGTGTTCAGCGGGTAGTAATACCCCTGAAAACCACCCGCAAACATTCATGCTTCTAGGTGCAACTACTTATAACTATCTGTGCAACTACTTAGAACTATTGGTGCAACTACTTATAACTATAGGTGCACTTAGTATTGATGTTCAGTTAAATTTTTGCTTGCACCTATAATAAATTTTACATGCACTTGTAATACATTTTACTTACACTTCGATGTTCAATTATTTACGAAAATGCCACCGCACTTTTTTTAAAAAATTAGTGTTTCTCATCCATTAGATTTGGACACGTGGACAGACAGAATTCATTCCTATTTCGCTCCTGGGCGAAGCATTCGCACCTGAGTGCGATTATATATATATATATATATATATATATATATATATATATATATATATATATATATATATATATATATATGTGTGTGTGTGTGTGTGTGTGTGTGTGTGTGTGTGTGTGTGTGTGTGTGTATGTATGTATGTGTATGTATGTATGTATGTATGTATGTATATATATTAGTATATAACCGCCATATATATACTAAATTTTAAAAATGGTAATAATAAAATTACATTATATACAACGGTTTTTTAACTAACGTCGTCTATTAAGTGATGTAAGTATGTATTAGAAAGCGGTTATTTAAAAATCATCGTCTATTAAGTGACGCAAGTATATAAGAAGGCGGTTATTTAAAAAATGCCGTCTATTAAGTGACGTAAGTATATTTTAGAAGGCGGTTTTAAAAACCGCCGTCTATTAAGTGACGTAGTATATAATAGAAGGCGGTTATTTAAAAACCGATATCTATTAAGTGACGTAGTATATAAAAGAAGACGGTTATTTTAAAAAACACCGTCTATTAAGTGGCGTAGTATATAATTGAAGACGGTTATTTACAAAACCGTCGTTTATTATGTGTCGTAGCATAACAACATCTATTATAAGACGGTTATTTAAAAAACCGCCATTTATTAAGTGACGTAGTATATCATTTTTGTAGTAATGTTTGTGCTTTAGTACATTGAGAAAGTAGCTATGAATAGTGAGCAGTAGTCAAAATAAATAAACTTATAAATTGAAAATTATAATAATTTTGAAGAAAATAATTTTTTAAAATTGTAATAATTTTGAAGAAAAGATTTTTTTTTTTTATGTGGAGTGAGTGAAGCCAAGATTTTTATTGTTTGGCTTTGTTTGACAAGACCGAACTCATACTTAATGATGAATTGATGAATATAATAAATTTGAACTACAGAAATTATAAAAAAAATTATTTTAAAAAATTGAGGTGGTGAAGTCCAAGATCTTTTTAGTTTCTTATAGCTCAACCTAATCTACATTTTAATCAAGCATTATATATTAAACATATTAAGTCTAAACAAATGAAATTAAAAAAAAAAAAAAAAGTATATCGTTTCTCTAATTTTTTAGGTTATGGTTGAGTAGAGCCAATATTTTTATTGTTTAGCACAATCAGTTAAACTAGATCCATATTTTAACCAGACTAGCCTAGTCTAATTCAATACTCCACAAGATTGATGAATTGTCACAATATTTGCTTCAATACTCCACTTTTAATTCAATACTCCACAAGTTCGAGCTCTACTTTTGTAGCAACATTAACAACTCGAGTCATTTTATCAAATACATTGAGTCCATGTCTTCTTTCGGGCCCTACTTCTCGACGTAAAGGGCATATGCAAGTGGAAAAGGAAATAGTTGTTGGAAATTCCGTTGGTGAAAAAAAATAATATTCCTATAAAATAAGATTATTATTTTCTATAGGAAGAGGGAAAGAAAGATGAAGAGATTGGCTAGTGTTTGGTGTAGGGTTTTTAGCAAGAGTCAAGGGATCACTCTTTCCTTAAAACCTTATTTACCACCTCCCAAAAGTGCTAGCTAGGAGCGTTCTGGCTTAGGCTTACCAGGATAAAACTTGCTACGATTCAATGTTTAAGCACCAAAACAAGGAACCCGGCGAACTAGAGCAAGATTATGAACACAGTATGGCTTAAGAAAGGAGTAGAAGCAGAGAGTTTTGAGGCTGAAAATATATTTCTGTTGTGTAAAAATTATACTGCCCAACTTTGGAAAATGATATGGCATAACTTAGCTTGCAAAGTTAGCTAATTTCCAAATAACATTCGTGCCCATGTACAAGAGAGAGCCTCTATGCTATACAATTCAATAAAATTATAAAGAGCTCTTCTATAAATAGTGGGGAAAATCCTCTTCCCAAACCAATGTGGGACAAAAGCTCACTTTTTCCCTTCATTTTCCAACTCAAATGGTCTACTTTGAGAATCAATATCTCATTCACCCATTATCCGTTTTGAGCGTACAATATATCAATCTCTTCGTCTCACTACGAAGAATCCGAATCCACTTTGATCTGAACCAAATCAGAAGTGGACCGCACTGATAATTGTACCTCAAAATTGCCACTTACCATGCCATTTTATGTCATTTTAAGCTATTTTTTTCCAACAATCCCCCACATGAATG